GCAACGGTTTCTGCTTGGAAAAGCATTGAAAAGTTTTCGCAATATTGCCAAACATACAACAACAACATAAACAAAAACAATGGCCAACTAAGGCACAAATTGACACACAACCAAAAAATACTATAAAGGCATGAGTTAGAGGCATCATGAGTCAAAATATTGCGTATACGCCATGTGGCAACCAAAAACGCAAATGTCACCATGCCAGGTGACATAGATGTGTATGCGTGCGCGTGGTTAGGCAATGCGCGTGCATTTGGCATATTTGTGTGCCTACCCAACGCATACACACAGAGAAACAGAAACACACACACACACACACACACACAGATGCAGCCTGGCTTTAAAAGCGTTCGCTGAACGATTTAGCCCATAAATCCATCGCCGCAGCCAATACAAATAAACAAGGCCCAAGGGGAGAAAGGGGTAGGAGATGGGTTAGGCATTCAGTCCAAAGCGGCAATAGTTGGATGGACAGATAACCCACACACACACACACACACACACGCGCGATCGAATGCCATTAAAAGCCACAGCCTGGCGCCTGACACGTGCTGATTAAACTCTTTTTTAAATGCGCAAAAATGGTGCGTGTTAAGTTTATAGGTTGTTTCTGACTAAGCATTCGCAGATAGTTCAATACACTCAGCGAAGTCTTTATAAGGTATGTTTACAAAGTAGCAAGTACAATTATTTTAACAATGAAAACATTTCATCTATTTGATATGCTACGTTGAGAACAGTTAGTTGATATCCTGAAAATTTGGAGATAATACCATATGACATCATATAGAGCTCTTTGCCGTAAAAAACGTGCAATTGGTGAACTTACCGGATAGCACATGTCCTCGCAGAGTGAGAAGTTAAGTTCAGAACTTCTTGCTGTTCTAAGACTTAAGACTGCGATTCGTATTTACTTATTGCTCGTCGTTGCACGGCCACGCCTCATACATTCAAATAGAGCCATGCTTCCAGGTTCGAATCTCAGGCTGGGCTGAATTTAGAATTGGCGTATATAAGTAAAATAATAATAATCATATTATTATTATTATTATTAAATTATATATATCAATATTAAGAATAAGTTTTTTGCATTTTTTGTTATTTATTTTTATTTTACTATTGCTGTGTATTTGTGTACATTGTAATCAACTGGGCTCTTAAACTAAGTGGCTATAGATTTGTGTGTTTTTTTTTTTTTGTTTGTTTTTGGTTTTTCGTTTGCCTTTTCGGCTCAAGCCCTTTGGCCTGGGGTGATGCAAGGGTTGCCAAGAGTCAGTCATGCGTGTGGCGTTGCGACCCAAACAAATATACTTTAAATAGCTTCGGCACTTTGGAAATGTGTCCCTTTTTTGTTTTTGCCCGATTGTTGTTTTTGTTTGCTGCCTGGGGCCTAAATCATGTTAATGAATTTTCTTTCGGTCATGTTTCGGCCTGTAGTGCGACATTAATTATGAAAAATTAAATTTTATATCGTCGCATTAGGCGGAAACCAAAACAAAAAAACAAAAATAAAAAATAATGAAAAATATAAAAGGGACGCCTCACGTCTGTGCCGGGCGGCTTATTTAAATTTATGAATTGAAAAAATATTAAATGCCAGCAGTGCGAGGCGAAATCCGCTAGGGTCATTAGGGTGCAACGTTTTATTTTTTCTTTAAAACACACACACACACACACACACATACACGCAACCGGCAGCTGCGACTTTTGGTTAAGCGGTTTTCATGGGTGTACGCCGCGTTTGAACGCCCAGCCCGAAGGATCTCATTAGCGTACAGTGCGCAATAGTTTTCGGGGGATTATATTTAATGCTCATCTGCAGTCGCTTCATAAATCACGTCAATATGCTGGACACGAACCGGCGCCAAATTTGGTTGGACTTTATCGGCAGCTAACTAACTAGCAGGCAGCCGGACGAAGCGCACTAATTAGACCGCAGGTGCCACCAGCTGGCAGCTATAGCCCACAACAACAACAGCATGGTCAGGGAGAAATGTTAGTAAATTGCAATTCATGTGCGTAAATAATGAACGCTAACGCCGCAGCCAGCGGTGCGTATGAGTGATAAACAGCTGTCGAAGTTAAAGCAACAGCAGAGAGCCTAGCCCATTGCATAGCCAAAAGTTAGAGGCGTCATTAAATCAAGCAATACTGAAATACATAAATGTACGGTTTTAACAATTAGTAGCTTTGGCTTTAAGTTTATACAAACTATTATTAATAAATGTTATGTAAATATCTCAAAGTGCGATGTTTTTCAAGTTTCAGGCAAAATATATAGCAACTTAAGCATTGTATCCGAAATTAAACTCAGTTTTGTATTAAAAATACATCTGAAAGATTACCATGAACTTTAACGCGAACAACAAAAAAATGGTTTTTATATTAATTCTTTAATAATTTTAGTTTACTATTTCTTAAAAACTAAAAGTGCTTATTCACCTGCTGCTTATACATTGCTTGGCTTGTTCGTTATGACTATAATACCTAAAACACACTTAAAATGTAGTATTTATACACTTAATGTTTTGCTAAGTTTAACAGAAAATCGAACAAAATTTGTCTTTAAATTGGCATTGCATGGCTTTTGCTTCTCCATTCTCAGTTACCTAAACTGAGGAAGCTATTTTTCAGCTGCAGCTCTATGGAACCGTTTTTGGGTTCGATACCTGGCAAGCATTTAACCAGAAGTTGCAGCCAATGGACCAACATAATCCCAATAACTAAGCATTCAATGGGTTCTCTCTCTCTCTCTCTCTCTCTCTCTCTCTCTCACTCTAACTCTATCTGTGTGTGTGTGTGTTTTGTAAGGGCCAATTTGGGCACGGTTTCGAGACCAACACCACAGCTGGATACGGGTCTGGTCTACGGGTCTGCATAACCTCTAACATTTTCGGCTTACCCCACTTGCCACGCCCACTTCTTCTGCCCTTGGTAGCAGCCGTAGCAGCCCAGTTAGTGTCTTGTCAGAGACAACATGTAGTTGCGATTAAAAGTTTTTTCCTGTTGCTGTCATTGGCAAATGTCTGTCGGCAATCAAGCTGCATGAGTGCATTTGCTGCCTGCTGCACCTGCCACATTCTATCTCCAAACGCACACTGACTCAGACAATCACACACACACACACACACACACACACACACATAGACACAGACACGTACACATGCACGCGCGTGCAGCATTCGTAGCATCATTAACGGTGTCGACGGTTCGTGTGCAGCCTTTTAAGCCATTAGCTAGCCAGTTGCAGTTTGCCAGTTGCTGTTGTCCCTGTTGATTGCGTGTGGCTGCGTGGCTTAAATTGTACCAACTGCCAAAAGGATGCTGGCTCTTGGCTGTCCAAAAAGGGCGCCAAATCCTTTGGACGGCGACTCTTTGTGCCACGCCCTAATTATCGTTATCGATAAACCAACTAGAACTGAATGCATATGACATGAACACGCACGAAATTAGGTTTAACGTGTGTCCAAAATGACAAAAGATCGCTCAAAATTAAGCTACAAAATTGAAATTAAATAAATGTACCGAAAAGGTTTTAATATCTTACTAATGTAGAAGCTAATATATAATATAAGCAATAGTTTATATGTGTCTTATCTCTCCATGTTCAGTAAACGATAAAAAATACTTGTATACTTGTACACTATCTCTTGAGCAGGTCAAAATAAAGAAAAGTTAATATTTGACATTTTTGAAAAGAAAATATAAAAGTTTTCAATAATTTTGTTTGTCTAATCTAATGCAAGTACATTTATTTTATACATACGCTCAATTTTTTATATTATTATACAAAAAATATGTTAAGAGGAATATTCACTAAATTCACTTTTTTACAGTCAAGGTTGACATCTCATTGCAAGGATAAAAAAATGTATTCAAGCAAACCCAGCTCTTCAGGAAAAGGCAGTCCTTTAGATCGGCGAACGCTGCGTATGCGCAATTTTGCATACAAATTTTTGTATGGGAGTGTGTGTGAGTGATTGTGGTATGCGTGGTAGTAGCTCATGCATGGCTCATTGGATGTTGAAAATTGCTTTATGCAAATTCAATTCAATAGCCCTAAAATATGAATCTAGCACCAAAATATGTTTGCGCCTGTGTGTGTGTCCATCGAGGTCTGCATAATTCGATTGAAAATTAAATTGTTATTAGTTTGCGCAACAGGCAATTGAATGTATCGAGTACAGTTCCTCTCTCAGTTGTGGCCCGGCATAAAAGCTGGCTCATTACCATAGAGAGTTTATGCTACAACATCGTGTGGATGCCACACAAATTTACATGCAACACTAAAAATAACATAAATATTGCCAGGCGACAGCAGCAGCGACAGCAACAAGGCGACAAAAAAAGTGAAAGAAGCAAGACAAACTGAAGCACAGGAAAAACTACACAAAAAATGAAATTCAAATAAACCTTAAAATTGACTTAGCGACAGCAGCGACGCTAGCAGCGACTGTGACTGCGACTGCGACTGCGACTGCGGCAGCAATGGCGACAGCCGGCGGCACAAGAAATTAACACAAAATCAAAATACATAAAAATAAAAAATAGGTAAAAAGCAACAAAAATGCTAAAGTAAAAACGTCAACAGCGCTCTCGCTAGTGCCAGTATCAGCTCAGTGATTTTACATAGTAAACAACTATAAAATACCCTTGAATTTACAAAAATACCTTCAAAGCTGTGTTACCTATTCAATTGCAGTGCCCATGCATTGATTTAAGGCTATATTCGGTACACAGCTATACAATTTTACCTACATAGTTGTATACATACGAATTTTCGTTGTTTGTTACATAGCTTTGCTATAACCAAAACACCCTTTATAACTGTGCTCTCATGTCGTACGTTTTTGTTGTAGTTGCTGTTGGCATGTAAAAATGTAATGCTAATGCAGAGCATCGAACTTGAACATGTTGCAAGCGAGGGCTGACATTAAAATTGACAATAAATCAAGGCTCAGTTCTTTTTCATGTTTAACAATATAAGAGAATGAAACTAAATAAATAATTGTATCTTGTATTTACATCTCATTTAGTTCAGGTGAAATATTCAATAATATTTGGTAGCAAAGTTATTGTAAATATTTATAAACAATACCATTAAGCTTAAACAACATTTAAGTTTATAACTTTACTTCTGCACTTTGTCAAGTTTTGCTCCACTGTTCCGGTTGCCGCGCTTAAGCTCGCTCTTCATGCCACCCACTCACGCAAGTATACACACACACACTCGCAGAACTCACACACGAGCAGCAAACAAGTTCTCGTCCAAAGTTCAAACGCAACCTGGTTGGTGTTGGCTGCCGGCAATGACGACGTTGACGCCAACGTCGCTGCCAGTTCAGTTTGTTTATAAATTTTGTGCTGTACGGACGTCGGCGCATTATTTTGTCGCGTGTTCTCAATCGCATACTCGTTTTGTCGTATTCGCGCTTCGCGCGTTTACTGCTTGACCTCCCCAAACCCCTCACACTCACAACTACGCAACTTTACCGCCTACGTCAGGACACGAGGCGAGCGCGACAAGTGAATCACATCCATATGTACATATATTAGCGTGTATGTATATTTGTGTTTATGCCTGTATTTGAAGTTGTGTATCGTGTTTGCGGTGTGTTGCGTTGATTTCTTTTGTTTGCTGGCCAATTGTTTGGCTTAATTAATTGCAAGTAGCATATGGGTCCACAACAACAACTACAAAAACATTAACAGACGTCGCAGTATATTTCGCAACAAATAAAAAGGTATTGAAAAAAAGTGCTTACTTCTCACCAATCCCCACACAGACGAGCTAAAAGAAGAAGAAGGAGCAGCAGCACCGAGCAGCAAACGAAGCAGCAGCAAAGCTAACAAAAACCAGTTTTGGACAACGCTGCAAGCAGCGCAGTCGCAGCGGCCAGTCGGGTAAGTGTATGTGTGTATACATGTGAGTTGTTGGTTTTGTCTGTTTGTCCGCGGCAGACGTTGTCGCCGTTGCCGCCGTTGCCGTCGCCGACGCCGTCGAATCGCCAGCGTCTTTGTCGCCCGCCCACACGCCTTCGTCGGCGTCGCCTGCAAAACTGGCTACAGCTTTAAAAATGTAACTTTTATTTTATTGAAGAAATGACTCAAAAAACTCGCTTACTCAATAACTCCAACTTGCTCGCTTGCTGTAGAGCGACAGCTAGTTGAAAGAATTTTAATATGCTAACTAGTCAAACACACGCAGTAGCAGAAGATGAGGGAGAAGAAGAATTTGATTCGGCAGCATTTGTAACGATACAAAGCAAGGGAACAATTTAAATCATGCTAAATTAAAAACAAAACTAATTTGCACAGTTTTGCAGTTGGCTCCAACTTTGTCTGCGCTGCTTCTGTTTACAAAAAAAAAAACTCATTTAGACAACCAGCAAGGAGAGAAGAGCTGCAAAACAGCAACAGCAACAACAACAACAACAACAACTGCAACAGCAACAAAATCCCAGCAGCAAACTTTTAATTGTCAACTTTTAACCAAGTCTCATCGAGTAGAGTTTTGGGCCCAGAGTTCGAGTCGAGTAGAGCTCAAAAGAAGAGCTTTCAGCTTTTTTATAATTTTATTTATTTTTTTTTGTTGGTTTTTTTTTCAGCTTTCATTTGCACTTACTAATTGAAATCTAGTTTGTTCTCTTTTACTTGAATGCACCATGTTCCATTTGATATGCAAACTATTCGACCGCTTTGTGCGGAATTATTTAGAAGCTCAGTCAATGAAGCAACTTTTAAGCTTACGTTTGAAATGCAACTCGGAATGGAATGGGTGAAAGCGCCCAGACAAAGTTGCATTCGTAATTACGAACCATCTGCAATGAATGCACGTTCCCTGGAACTCTAGACATATATGTATATAATTTGTATAATTATCAATTGTACAATTTCGAGCTTTCTTGACAATACAGTTTTTATTACATAGATTCCGTTTCTGAGCTTAGCTTTAAACTATATAAAATGCATTTCGGAAAAAGTGAATGCTAAGTTTATCATAGTTCACTATGACTTACTTAATTAGATGTGAATTTATGCTGTCATACTTACGGCATTTCAATTACATATTCGAATGTGTTTCTTTTTTCGTTTACATAATTTAATTTATCTTGACGTTTTCCATCCCCACACAACTGTTGCTCTCTGTCAAGTGCTAATTAATTCATATTTACAACCATTTACTTAAAAACATTTCACTTTTAAAACCAAAATTCACTCGTGTTGTGTCTCATCTACACTTGCAAAGTGCAGACTAAAAGTTGATCCTCTCGGAAATATATAGTGACAACTCATCTCAATTGCAAACTCGACTTGATGGGCAACAACATCAAATTATTAAAATATTTTGGCAACACGGCATTTAGGCAACGTAGCTCTTAAGCTAAAACAAGCAAAACTTCGTCCTTGCGTTGTATTCTATGTACTTATGCCTATGCACATCCTGTCAGCCCGAGGAGCTGTGGCAAATGTATTTGAATATATTCAACACTTTAGCCAAATATTTGAAATACATTTTGATGTCTGCCGAGTTTTGCATAATTTATGCATGTGTGCAAAAATGCTAATAGCCTACGAGCCATCACTCCGGACCCCCTCTCCTCAACCCCTTCTCTGCCTCGTCCTTGCCGCCGGAAAGTTTATATTTTTCAATCAGTGTCACAGCTCTCGACAGTTTGTGATAAGTTTTATTGCCATATTCCCAATGTGGCGACTGAAATTCTTTAATTGCTTGGAATTTCATTAGATGCCGTAACATAAAACAAGTGACGGAGTTTTAATCAAAAGGATTCGACTGGAAAATACCCTGTACTCGGCCTGCATATGATATATGGTGTATAAAAAAAGGCAAAGTTGGTTTAAATTGCTGGTGAATGGAGAGGGAGGAATGAGAGTAGATCATGATATCTAAACGATTTCTAACTTCGCTCAAAGTGTAATTAATAAACTTGGCGAATTATTGAAGACAGCTAATAGCTTGTTTTGCATATGATTTACGGGAGCATATATAACAAAGCGAGTTTTTACATTTGTCAAGAAAAACTAGACATGACCGCAATATATATAAATTTATATACATTTTATGAGGTCACATTTTCACAAAATGATTGTTGCCATTTTTACGCATTTTTAATGGGTACAGAGTTCGTAAAGTTTATGCAAACTATTTGGCAAACCTCAAATGTAAAACCTTAATTAAATAGAAACTTAAATAATCGTTAAGCCAATGTACGTAAACGTACATACACCAATATGTATATATATGTGTATTCAGCTTTGTGCAACCAACAATAATATTTTCTTTAATTATTTGCTTTCAACAAATGTGCAAAAATATTTTGATAAATTATGGCAAAAGGTCTGTGGTAAAAGTTTTGCAGGTGCCGAGCAAAATATAGATATAGAAAGTCTATCGTTATTGCAAATGACACTGTCCCTTTGCGCCGTCTGTCGGCTTTAGCCTTCGTCCAGTACTTGTGTACTTGCAGATGGGAATGTAAATAGAGACCGGGTTCAGAATATATACTCGAACATTTGTAAAACTTGCGGCTTTTGCCCGCAGGGGATTCAGTTGTGAGCTTATAATTTCTGCTTGGCTGCCCCCTAATGAGACTCGAACTTACATTAAAGTTTACATCATTAAAACGGCCATGTAGCTAATCGAAACTTATTGATAAATGTTGTTAAATATCAGCTGCAGCTAACTAATATAAACTTATGCTCTGTCAAAATATAAATATCGCATTGAATGCATGTTCAAATCACAGACACTGTCAAATAAACGTGTAGCATATTCATGCAGCATTTAAGTCTATCTTCAGATTAACTGCAACTGTCAGAATATTGCATGAATCAAGAATAGACATAAATTTTTCAATGCTGGCAGCCTTGGGAAAATTACATTCATAAAAAGAATGGTTTCACAACACTAAATACCATGAAAACAACTCACAACCCTGCGCAACCATAAATTTCTGGATGATTTAAAAAATAGTTTTAAAAATATTATGAAAAAACACGAAAATCAGTTAGCCTTTCTCTCCGATTTTCATAAATTGAAGTAATGCTTAAAACTACTACTGAATTTAGGGAGCGAGTGAGTAAGAAGAAAATTTGAGTAAATGTATTGTATATGCATGTACTTATTTATTTTAGCCCACATTAAACGACAAAGTTTTGATCTGAGCAAAGCATACACAAGCAGTTGTTATATTTCATGACTCCAAAAACAACCTCAGCTGGATTGCCGGCACCAAATGAATATGAAACATTTGGCATAACGTGTAAGTTGCATGCAGGGCGTGGCAGGGGGCACGAGAATGTATTTATGCATATATATAGCGTATGCACCGAGCTCTCCTGGCCTGCTGAAATCAAGTTGACTCAGCGCTGACTTCAGGCCGCAAATATTTTGAGCAAAATGTTGCCGAGTGTCTAGGAACGTATCTTAATGAATCATCGACAGGGCGTGGCAACTGCCATTAAATCGAAGTTAATATTGAATATTAAAAGCACACTGAAGTGTAACTTTAATTTAAATAAATATATTTCAAAGTAGTCCCGCAGGAAATTTGCATAGTATATGATTTACGTGTCATTTAATCGCTTTGTATCTTAAAGATACATTGCAAATGGTTGCACATATTTTTCATTTTATTTCTTTTGCCTCCCGCTGCTATTTTTTACGTTCATTTTTATAATTCTTATATTTTTATCTCCTGTATTCCGCATTGAACTTTAAAATATAATTTTAAACGAGGCGTTGAAACGAATTTACTTTATGACTCATGTGCGGCTTTTTGTATCTTGCAGCAAACAGCTATGCGATTCAGCACAACTGCTACAACGACAACAACAACAACCACAACTGCAACTTAATTGGCGCGCGTGTCAAAGAGGTGAGTTATAGACGAGAAGCACTTGAAAAAATGGCCACAAATCTCGAGAATCGTGTGGCAAAAGATGCATTGTGTAAAATGTCTGGACGCAATTTGACTGTGGGGCATGCCACAAGTGGCTAAAAACGTTGCCACTTGGCGTCAGGTGTGGGCAAAACGTGTTCGCAGCAAAAACCATAGCAAAGCCTGCTAATTGTCCGTTTTTATTTATCCAATTCTACCCTTGCTAAATGCATACAAAGGGTATGATGATAGGACAACAGGGAAAAGGTGTATTTAGTTATGATAAACAGGCCTGTGTCATCGATAACATTTCGATAGTAACGTGTTATCAAGCGAAAACTGTGGCGAAGCTTTTAAATTCAGAAATCGTTTAGCTGTTTTGTTTACTTTACTTTATTATTATTATCAATTATTTATCGACTGAATAATATATAATTAATATCTGATGAATACTTTAAATATAGTAAAGAATATTCTTTTCATGTGTCACGACATCCCCATTACTGTTATCGATTGTCATAAAAGTTTATGAGATATAACTACCATTACAATTTCAAGGTCAGGCACAGGTCACGCCCAGGTCAGGGTTGTACCTCTTGAGCATACGGAGAAAATCTCAACGTAAATTTCATAATTTATTTTCTACTTACTTTTGATATCCGATTCTTCGATGATCAAATAAAAAATGGTTTTATTATTTTGGTTATGGTGGAACTTTTCCTAGAAATACCCTTGCGTAGATAGTATATTAACATCGGGTGACTCGCCCGCAGGTATTTCCCAGTCAAGTAGCCTTAAATTCACTTTTCTTCTACGCATTACCTTTCCATCTTTCTGGTTGTTGTCTGTCTGCGGCTTATTTTGTAAATTACGGCGTCCTTACGAAGGGCGGGCAAAGGGCCTTCTGGGCCAGAATGTGGAGGATTACAGCTGTCAGCTGTGTGTGTGTGTGTGT